TTTTTTTTCTCTCCTCCTTGTATTTCCTTTTTGTATTTTTTCCAGAAACTGAGGTTCGTATCAACCATAGAACAGCGTTCACCCAAATAAATAACTGGGTCAGATCTTCCTATCCCTGTTGACAATGGGGAAGACCAGGTCTTGAAACACAGAGGAGCACCCAACACCACCCTTTTGAGTACCCAGCTTGGCAATGACAGGTTCCACAGAGTGCATGCTGAGTACTACAACTGCTCRTCTGAAAGGTTCCTTCGTGGCCCACAATATTCCTCTCAGGGGCTGAAAACCCGCAGTCAAAAATAGCTTAATGCTTCTCCCTCCATCAGCCAGGTCTAACAGAGGACAGAGAGGAAATATTCTGTTGCTGAGCATTGAAGGTATAAAATGGAGCCAATTGGCCTCCCCTTGAGCACAAATAACAACAGGAGAAAGATCCATATGCAGTCGAGTGCAGGATAAATGTGCTTAGCTGATCATTCATTTCCCTAATATTTTTTTATGAATAGGCTTAACTTATGGTAAGATGGGACTTTATGGTCCTGTAAGTCTTGCTCTTGTCAAAACAAATGAACTAGCCATCCTGTGGGGGAACTATCAATCCAATGTATGTGTGTATATGGGTGTGGAGAGTCAGACCTATTATACCTTTAAGAGCAAATTAGATGCTGTTCCTATGATTCATAATGCTATATATCTAATGGCATGACTCGTCATCTAGAAAATAAACGTTTTGAGCCAGTTTCTCAACTCATAAATTTCCCCTCTGGCACTGAAGGACATAAACTAAATGGGCTGACTCACAGGGAAACAATACAATTTGGATACTTTTAAATGAAAGATAAAATTGCCTCTGGGCACAGAGGGGCGTTGAGATTCCCAGGGAGCGGTTGGCAAGTGCGGGAAGAGTGGGATGCCGAGCTCATGGTGGCGGACGCCTGTCCGCAGTCCCTCTGCCATCCTTGTCCCTCCGGCCAGTAGAGCAGGCCTGAGATGTGCTTCGTGCTTCCCCATCCTTCTCATGGCTCAGTGATGTGGTATGACCACCGTGACAGAGCATCAGAAGCAGAGACAGGCRTGTAGCTCTGAGGAAGGAAGGAGATACACACGGGATACACCATGCTTGGAGGTACTCCACTCTGAGACTGGAAGCAGGAGGAGCAGCAGTCCTTTCACTGTGGGCCAGGTTCAAGTTCTGCATGTTGTACCTGTCCCTCAGGGCTGAAGCTGCCCCATGGGACAGATCTCRGGGCCTTCAGGGCATCCTCAGTCCATTGCTCTTGCTCTTCCTGTGCCATGAGGCTCCTGGTTTGGATGATAAGTGCTGTTCCTCTGAGTCTGGGTGAGCAGTCCCTTACCTACTTGTTACACAGTCAAGAGGAGAAAGCAAAGGCTTTCCTGACAGCTCAAGAAGGAGGAGCATTTGACTGCAGTGCACCCTCAGGGCCAGGCTAAACCAGAGAGCTTGAAGATTTCACATTTCCAAGGTAAGGCAGTGAGCCTTTTGGTCCCTAGCAGGAGCTTGGTAGCATCCTCTGATAGATGGAGCTGACTCCATCCAGAGCCTGGTAGGGAACGCACTAGAAGGAAGCATGAGCTTTCTGCAAAACTGGCTATAATGGCTTCAGGGATGGGAAGACCAGAGAGTATTGAAAGTTTATCAAGACTCTAAGTTTGCCCTGGAGTCTGCAGGGAAAGAGACTCCTTGGAGTCCCCTTGGAGACTCCTAAAGTGATGATAAACATCCTCAAGAGATGCCCTCAGGTTGGGAGAGCGGGCTCTGCTTTTCTTCAGCTCCTAAGAGAGCTCTGAGCCTCATCCCGTATTTCTGCTTCCTGCAAGACCTTCCCTGCCTCCGTTTGCCACTGGGCACATGCTGCCCAGCATGACACGCTTCCTAGAAGCCCTCATTAACAGCAAGCAAAGGCGAGTGCCGCTGTGCCCCACCACCCTGGCCTGCCTGACGTCAGCCGGCTGCTCCTCCAGGAACAAACGCCAGGAAAATTGAATCGAGGCTGCCGCCAGGAGCGGGGGCTCCTGTTCCTCAGAGCGAGCCCGGTGGTGCCGCGCGTAGGTGCACTCGCCCTAATGAGCACAATGGGAGGACCCATCGATCCGCTAACCTCGTTTCTCTGAAGGCTGACACAAGGCAGATCGCGGCTGTGTACCTGCAGGATCTAATTAAAACGTGTGTAATTCTGGGCAGGCGGAGGAAAGGGGATTGCTCATCCCGCCTTGCACTTATCCAAAAAAAAAAAAAAAAGCTAGAGGAGGGAAGAAGCGACTTGGCTTTGGCTCAAGGTCCTGGTAGGATTTCTCCTTGGGATTACATGGGCCTGCAGGGAGAAGCAGAGGGAGAAGGTCGGGAATGTCAGGGCTACACTGGGAGTGAGTGGCCAGGGGATTGCAGAGCATGGGCAGCTGCAGCACCACTGAGGGGCACAGGCTGGAGGTGGCCACAGGGAGCTGGGAGCAGGTTCTGTGCATGGGGAGCCATCACCTGGGCTGGGGCTATGGGTGCTTTTGCTTTCCTCTTGCCTTATGCCTTGCTGCTCTGGACACACTCTGCACCTGGCCTTGCACATGCCCAGGAGACCATGGCTATAGGCTGGGCACAGTCTTTGTTTTTTATTTCTTTTTTTAACAATTTTCATTTGCCACTCTCGTCACCTGGGCGGACACACACATGTTGTCCAAGGGGACACGGCCACGATGCCCATCCACACCCGCCCAGGCAGACAAGAGGCTCTAGCACCTTTAGGCAGTGTGTGGGAGCCCGTCACCGTCCCCTCGTGACTGCTGCGTGAGCTCCCTGCTTCTCGCCCMCCCCTGTGATATACACAGTGGCCCATGGTTCACGCTCCCATATCCCTTACGCACATCTCCCTCCATCCCTATCGCCTGCAGCACCAGTGGGTCCTACAGAAGGATATCTGTGCCCACTCATCCCTGTCTGATAAACTCTTTCTTTCTCTGTCTTCTTTGCTCTCTCATTACTTTGTGATGCCCTTTCCAGTCCAGTGCTTTAATTAAATTCAAAAGAATATAAAGAGATAACGTCACATTTTCTCTCTTCCACATGTTTTTTCTTCCTTCCTTCCTTCTTTCTTTTTTTTCCCCTCCCTCTGGAACAGTCACATTTCGCAAATGTCTGGAAGCAGAAATATTTCAGGCGCAAGAGTGCAGGCACCTTGATAAAGGTGGTCGCGTGCTCCGGGAAAGCAGCAGAACCCCAGACAATAGGAGCCATGATGTCAGGCTCTATTTATACCTTTCCTTTTTATAAATGTCCCCAGGATGGCGCTTTTTCTATAGTTTTGTGCTAAATAGCAAATCCACTGAAGCTGTCCCCATCCTCCCCAAAGGGCATGTTTTATCTCTAAGGCGTAACCCCACGGAGGGCTGCCTGTATCGCAGGATCCAGGCATCCGCAGGCCGGCGCTCCCGAAGATTTGAATGGGCGGAATAACGTTGCACTGTGGACGTTGGGTTGTTTGAACGGAGATTGGCAGCATGGCTGTTGTACACGAAAGAGGATCTTTAGGGCATTTGGGCTCCAAAATGTGTATGTGGAAAGGTCAAAAGCATTACAAAGAGGTTTGTTTTAGTGGATGAATTTGGCTGTTGTGATTGTTCTACCAGGACTTTGTGGCGTTGTATAAAGTCTGTTCTATATTTGGTATGTTTATGTGCGGCGAGATGCTGTCTTCTGAGTGTGAAACAGCCATAAAAACATCAAATCYGAACAGCATAAGAGCATGGAGTGAGGAAAACCCACTCCTGAAGCATGGGAAGCAGCGTAGGGAACGGCTGTCCTGGACTCAGTCACCAAGCTGTGGGATGAGCAGAGGGAAGATATCACAGGATTAGTCCTAAAGGACTTTGGGATYTTAGTGGAAGTGTTTCAGTCTTGGATCCCAGCAGACGGACATCTGCTCTTACTCCTGTGGATCAATTTACATTACTAGGAGTAGTCAAGAGGGCTCCTGGTGAATTTGAGGACAGCCTGTAGAGGGAAGTGTTCCCGTCTGGGCACAGCCTAAAGTATTTTGAAGATTTCAGATTTTGCAGTTCTTCTTGTGTGCAGTCCTTACACAAGTGAGTAGAGCCCAAATTTGCTTGCAGGAGAGTAGCTCGTATGGATAGCAAACAGATGGGGGGTGTGAAAATGGTCTGTATTGCTGTGGATATAGGAATCACTTCATTCTTCACGGGGACAGAAACAGCTATAGGAGGGACGCACAGAAGAGGTCCCAGCAGTGCAAAGGTACCTTAGGTGAAATGTCCTGCCTTGCAAAGGGGCTTCCATCTGCATTTCCCAAGGCACCTCCTTGGTCTTGCACCACGGGAGATCCGCAGTGCACGAAGCTCTGTGCAGGTGGCTCTCCCAATCCCGCGCCCAAAGCGGCGCATGCGGCTGAACCGGCAGCACCGCTCCATCCTGGTGTAGGACACTTTGCATGACGGGCTCAGGGCYGCACAGAGGGTCCATGGCAGAGCTGGGGAGGCCCTGTCCCCAGGCTGCCTGGATCCCAGGCTCTCCACGCTCGCCCTAGCTGCTCCGCATCACGAGGCTGAGCCKCTGGCTGGGTTTCGCTGACTCTTTAGCATACATGCTCACACTTTTTGTTCTTGCATCAGGCTTTCAAGGGAGCCCTGATGAGCTCATACTGGTGCTCGGGGAAAGGTGATGTTATCGAAGACTGGTGCAGGTGTGACCTCAACGCCTTCGATGAGAACGGACTCCCGAACTGCAGCCCTCTCCCTCAGCCTGTGTACGTATCTGTGCGATCTCCTCCCACGGGTCACTGTTCCCCTGCACCAGCCCCTTCTTCCAGGCTCCCCTGTGGCTACAGCTCAGGCCACGGGCACCTCTGTCCTCTGAGCCTACAGCTACAGGCCAGCGCCACTTGCTGTGTGACTGATGCCTTTAGGATATCCTGGCTCTTGCTGTGGCCCTGGAAGGTTTCCTTATAGATTTTCATCACCTGATTAGCTGAACTTGTAGAAGGGGATTTCAAATGCTGAAAGAAATGGAATTACAGTGCAATTCATTGTGGCTTGTCAGAGCAAGAGCAAATCAGGAGCAAACTGATGGGGAATTAGCTGAGAAAGCAGGAAGACTGGCTCCAGCTATCCACAAGGAACAAAACACCTTCTTAGTGAGCCAATATCCTCAGAGAGGATTGATTTCCTATCCTGAGCTCAAAAAACACACCAGTATTTTTGGAGATGGACTCTCTGTAGCCCTGTTGTCTTTTACCTCAGCACAAAGAACAACACACACCTTTGCACTAGTAGTGCAGAGCTTCCCTGCACTCTCCTCTGCCTTCTGCTACATRCAAAAGTTTGTGCACAGCTGCCCTGCTTTTGTTTTTGCTAACTCGTTTGCAGCTGGGTGAATTACAGCCACACTCACCCCTTCACTCCCTCCCTTRCTCCCTTGCCTTTGCTCACTCACAATGCAGAATAGACCCTCCCTTTGAGTGGACTCAACCCAGCTGTGTGGCATGAAAGTAAAGCTAGATCCTCCCCTATTCTTTTGCTCTTGGCATCTAGTCTTCAGTTCCCTATGGAGTGGCTGAGCTTAGGGAGAAGTTCTCCTGGGAAATGAAGGCTCCTTTAGACAGGCTGCTTGGGGCTGCAGTTGCAAGACCGAGACCTATCTGGGAGCCCCAGGAGGTGAGGACCCAGCAGGGAAGGTTGCACCCATCTGACTTTCCCTTGGAAGTTTCTTTTGTGTCCATTTACCCACTCTCCCTTTGTACCYTGTGTCCTTGTGGGTCTGTGTACATGCCTGTGTATGAGTGTGAGCTCTTCCTGAGGTTACACTGCTTGTGCAGTCAGCAGAAAGGGAGATGATGTGTTCTTTGGTTTCTGTTCTCTGTCCTCTCCAGTTTGCGGCTCTCTCCTACTGTGGAGCCTTCCAGCACCGTGGTCTCTTTGGAGTGGCTTGATGTTCAGCCCGCAATTGGAACGAAGGTGTCTGACTAYGTCCTGCAGCATAAGAAGGTGGATGAGTACACAGACACAGACCTCTATACAGGTAAGAAAGGCTGCAAAGCGAAAACTTCTCTTGCTCTAGAGATCAGACAGCATTGCAGGACGTTGACTGTGCTGCTGTGAGCTGTGATGCCTTCGTCCTTGGGGAAGTTGTTGCTTTTGTGCAGAAAGGTGCCTAAGGGCAGAAGTGTGTGGTGTACAGGGCTCTCCTCTTGAGTGAGGTTTCTGAAGGGTTCTGTAGATGTGTCTATTTGAGGGGGAAGGGGAAATGCAGGAAAAAGAAATGCAGCACCGCAGAAGAAAACGATTTGCCCTTTTTTGATGGAGGATTTGTGGGATGGTGTTTCTAACTAAGATGACTGTTTGATCAAACAATCTGAAATGCTACAGCATGGCAGGTGTGTGGGCTGCTCAAAACCAACCCGAGGGCTTCGCTAGTCCATTCCAGGGAGTATAGCCTTGCATGCCAGCCATTTAAAGGACCCTTTAAGGTACCCTGCATAGCTATCAAAGCAATCTGGAGTCTGCAAAATTTGGAGAGATTGAGTGGTGTGTGAGTGTGTTTTCCAAAGGAACCTGAAACTTTCCTGGGTTAGAGTCCAGTTACTGGCTCAGGGCTTGGACTTAGTTCTTTGTGGTTTGGGAAGTCTTTGTCAGCAATTCAAGCCATGTTTCAGGAGCTGCTGGACAAGGTGGAGGGATATGAAGGATGGAGCTGGATCTGAGTAAATCAATGTATATTAGAAACTATCACTAGAGGCCTTGAGTGGCTTCAACTGCTGCTGGTTAGAAAAACAGGCAAAATTGCCTGCCTTTGTTTTGCTGCAAGATTTTGAGTTTAGGTCACYGAAGAAACTCATGTCACATTTCAGAAGTGGCAAGTGTTGACTGAAGCAGAGATCTGCCTTTGCATAAAGGGTCAGTTTCTCCAATGCTGACACTACCAAATTTCTTCCTCCCCTCAGTAGGGAAAGTTGGAAGAGGGCTTCCATTCAGGGCTGAAGTGAGGCTCCAGCATAGCTGTCTGCTTTGGGGGTAAAAGCCCCATTTGTTTTAAGGAGCAGCCTTGTCAGTTTATGGAGAGGTTTATGTGATTTTTCTGGGACATCCAAGTCCCCTCTTGCTGAGAGTTACCTCAGAACAAGCTTACAGCTATGGAGAAGTTTTGACCCTGTCTATTCATCTCAAACCCAGCTATTCTAGGCAGATGCCCTTTTTATCACCACATCCAAGTTTCTATGCCGCAAGAGTGGGACTCTGTCTGAGAGAGCTGGAACTCCATATCAGCAGAGACCCCAATGAGAAGGAGCTATGTCTCCTTGTTTGTACMTCTGTACTGTCCCGGAGTAACTTTCCCCTGCACCCTGTTGCCATGGGTTGCCATCCAGCACTGTCCAGTGTGGCCATGGTCCCTGGATTATGTTTCTGGTCTCCTGGCATGGAAGAAGGCTTGCTCTTTATCCTGGAGGGGCACCTTCCAACAACAG